TATTGGCATTTTTTCCAGATTTCTGATTCCCGGTGTGATGTATGAAAATCACTGATCACAGTAATTTGAAAAGCGCTTAATTCAGCTCAGTAGTTGTTGAGAAATCATCGTTAAAAATTTTAAAACCACTAAAATATCTTGGAAAAAATCAAGTGACTTTTCTTCATTGAATTTAAATGAAGTTTGCTTGGCAACAAAATATCCAAATTCAATGAAATTTTTTATTTTAATTCTGTGAATTCATAGAATTAAAATAAAAAAAATTGCCCGCAGCTTCTTTTAAAGACATCTAAACTTTGAACGAAGATTATTTAACATTTACCTGATCAAATTCGATCAAAATTTTTTTTTGCTTTAATTCTATAAACTTATAGAATTAAAATAAAAAATTTTTGATTGAATTTGACCGGGTGAGTACTGAGTAATTTCGTTCGAAGTTTAGATGTCTTTAAAAAAGAAGCTACGGCCAAATTTTTTTTGCCTTTTAATAAATATTTCTTGACAACTAGCTATTCAATTTTTTTTTTATTTTAATTCTACGTGTCCACAGAATTATAATAAAAAAAATTTCATCGAATTTGGATAGTATATTGTCGAGAAATCTTCATTTAAAGTTCAAAGAAGGAAAAATTCATCCGATTTTGGTAGATATTTTGTTTTTAAAAATTTTAACAGTGATTTCTCGTCAATTACTGAGCCAAATTCAATTAACTTTTTTTTTTTATTTTAATTCAACAAAATTATAGAAATAAAATAAAAAATAATTTGACCAAATTTTATTAAGTAGTTATTGAGAAAACATCGCTAGAAGTTTTAAAAAACCTTCGAATTTTCATAGGATCTTCTGTAATACAAATCACGTGGATGAATTTTCCGAAAAATTGGAGGGTAGTTATTGAAAACCACTATAATCGAGGCTTTAAAATTTCGGTTGTGACGTCAGCCGAACCATAATAAACACAAAGCGAAAATCCAAACATTCAAAATATGAGTATGTTTTCCAAATCCAATATGTTGTTGGGAAAAGTGCACATATCATTATTTGGAAGTAGGGAATTGATTCAACAAAAAAATTGTTGATCGATGATTGATAGAAAAAAATTTTTTTGTATCGATCAAAATTCAATTATGTATGCCTAATCGAGTATGAGCGATCAAGGATGTAATTTATTTGCTCGGGCATACATAATCGGCCAATCATTGGGTCAACCATTGATCTATTATATAGTATTTTATAATGATACCTTGTAAAATAAAAGATTTTTTTAGATTTTCTCAATCGATCAAATTTTAACATTTAATCGATTTACATAATCGATCATTCGAGGGAAGGTGCATGTTATAGCGATAGAGTGTGGCATATAGCAAATAGTGTAACGTGATACAGAATTAGGCTGTGTAAACTGCTAATTTAAAACCCTGTATAAACGACTATACATGTATCGTATCTTTGAGACTTCTGATTTTAAAAATGTCCAAAGCCATAATCTTTAAATATTGTGTTAATTCTTTCAAACTTTTCCTCATCCTCTACTTATTTTACTACTTAACATACCACCTTCAACCCTTAGAATCGACAGTCTCACAATTGCATATCATAGATGATGCCTATATAAAACTCCCTCCGGGTGTGGACCAGAACTTAACGATCTTCGTCGGGGTTCTGACTATTTATGAGAAGATCGAAATTAGGGAATGCTTGCGCAAGTTGTATACACATAATAACGACGCACTGACGCGGTATCTTGGAGTCAAGAAATCGCCCGTGACGATTAGGTTTATCCTGGGATTGCCAAATGACGAATATATAGATAAGCTGGAAGAAGAATCCAAAATGTACGAGGATATTGTTATTTTGAATATCACAGAGAACATGAACCAAGGAAAGACGTTTGAATATTTCAATTGGTTTGCTAAGCATGTAAGTATTCTTATCTTGTTATGAGGCTGCACATGTCAATAAGCATTCATTATTTTGATTCATTATTTTGAGTATGCTTAGAGGGAGGATAATTATTTGCTCAAATTGGACGATGATACTTTCCTCCACCTTATTCACTACTACCGTGACCTACAAGACTTACCAAGAGAACGTGCGTACTATGGCAATGCTCTAGCATATTACTATAACGATGGAACATATACATTTATGGGAGGTATGTTATTTATTCCCTTTTATAATCAATACCTCACGCACTTTTTGATCTTTAATTACACTCGAAATTAGGTGCAGGATACACTCTCTCCCGCGATCTTGTTATAGACATTGTTAGATCAAACTGGGTTAGTTCAAATGTCGAAGGCAATGAGGACTGGCTAGTAGGTGAGTGGGTGTGCCACGTAGCTAGGGAGATGAAATATTTTGTGCATTATATCGGCTTTACAAGTTGGGTGCCCAGCCGCCAAAATCCCATCCATGACTTTGATGAGAATCTGGACCTCCATTTCCTTAGCGAGACCATCATGATCCATCGGATAAAAGACATTGGGAATTTAAATGCAATTAAGAATGTGTACTCTGAATACGAAGAGGGGTTGCCAATAGTCAGAGTCATTCGGAATTCAACGGCCGAAGGCCTGGCTACAAAGAGGGAGGTTGTTGCAAGATGCTGGACCGCGCTTGAAAAAGAACAATTATGGGATCAATTGCAAAGTACCTACAAGAACTGGTTTTATGAAACTTGGGGTTTTAAGGAGGGGAAATGATAAGGGCATAATGGGTTGTGAATAATACAGGGATTGGATAGAAATTTTTATGCATTTTTTTTTATTACAGTCAGACCTCTCTAAGTGCACACTCTATAGCACGCTCAATGTAAGTTTCTCACTAAATTGCACGGCCCAACTTATAAGAGTGCTATATATTCTACTCTCTACAAATGCACACCCTTTTAAGTGTACATTTTGCTTTTGTTTTTTTTTTAACTATGGTTCCAAGAGGGAGCACTTAAAGAGGTTTGGCCGTACATAATTTATTACATACTTTAATAATTTCAAAATTACTACTACAGTATATCAATCACGTTATAATATTAGTCAAAATTATAAATATTTCTAGCATTACTAGCCAAATTATATAACAATTTAGCTAAAATAATTTTGATTAAAATTTTAATTTTTATCAAAATTTTATCTATAGTAATCTTAGGTCATACAAAAAAAAAAAAAAGAGATTTTTTTTTTGTTTATAGTACATAACCCGACTGGGTCCAAAAATTGAAACCATAAATTATTGGTTTAATTAGCCCATTCAAATAAAACAAATTTTATATGTATTATAAGGTAGATATACCTAATTTGACGCAGTTCCTAATTTGACGCACAACAATATCTTGCGAACCAATGATCAGAATCATATAATTTTGGTACCATTCGATTCGTCTCATCGAAACGAATCGAATGGTACCAAAATCATTTGGTTATGATCGATAGTTCTCGAGATACTCTATTTGGCCAAAACAGTCCAAGGTAGATGTACCTAATTTGACGCAGGTAAACGTTTATGGTATTGATTAGATTTACAAGATTTTGGTACTGTTCAATTCGTCTCAATGAGACGAATCGAATGGTACAAAAATCTTGTGAATTCAATCAATACATCACATGGTATCCACCGTAAACGTTTACCTGCGTCAAATTAAGCACTATATCAAATTGGGAACATTTTTTTAGCCAAACTTCAATGAATGATATCTCATGATTTGGTGATTGGAATTGGGTGATTTTGTTGCCATTCGATTCGTCTCAACGAGGCAAATCGAATGGTGCCAAAATCATCCAATTCTGATCAGCGAGGCATGTGATATTTATCGTAAACGTTACCTACGGCAAAATAGGGATACTTACCTTATACATATTAAAACAGTAAAAAAATGTGATGAGGCTTGAGTGCATCTCCATATTTAGAATTTCGCTTTTTCAAATAAAACAGTCTTCGATATTTGTCTAAGGAACCGGATAATTTTTCGGATAGCCTAAATTTAGTCAATCCTCATGTTCATGTTCGACCTTCACATAGATCGATTTAGATAATTTTTAATTTTAAAATAGGTTGTGCACACTGGCTCGTAGCTAAATTTGTTACAAATAATATAATTTAAAAGACATTACCATATTTATTGCAAATTATATAAATGACTTAAAATATTATTTAATGAATCTAAATCGATGTGCTTATGCTGTATTGAATGAATTATAAAATCTGTTAAGTAATTTATTTACGAAGTATCACCTTAAACTTAATAGTCACACAAAATCACTTATAATTGATTATTTTTATACGACAGCCATTTCGCTGATTGGTTAATAACCAATGGGAGCTTTAGAGATTTGAATAGATTAGTCGCACAATCAAATTTCAGATCAGCAAAAATTTAGTGTCGGAATAGGCCGGAGCTAGGCCGGCATTAAGCATAATGCTACTGTAATACTAGCTAACTATACTATAGCATTAATGGTTGACCAATTTTATTTAATATATAGGCTACCGGTTTATTGGTAAAAATTTATCAATTCCGGCCTATTCCGGACCTTGATTTGCTGAAGAAATTTCACGATCATCCGCAACAATTAGTATTGGCTAGAGGTAGATTATCGCCGAAATAGCAATCGCGAATCAACTACAGTACAATGAAATTTTTAATATCATGTGTGCAAAAACTCATTTGTAACATACAGTCGCACCCCCTAAGTGCAAGTACTATGTAAAACCTCTCTAAATGCACAATCATGTTGGGCCCCAACTTATAAGAGTCCTATATATTTTACTCTCTATAAATGCAAACACCCTCTAAGTGCAAAATTTTAATTTTTTCCACTATGGTCCCGACAGAATGCACTTAGGGAGGTGTAACTGTATATACTTTTATTTATAAAATTGCTTTTCATGTATTAATAAAAAGTTTTTCATAAGAATTTTTTTTTATAATCCAATTTAATAAAAATAAGATTATACAAATTTAATTACTTGGTTTTTATAACATGAAACTTTTAAATAGATCTAGCTGGTTGGCTTTTTTTATTATAAAATTTTATAAAATTTATATAAAAAATTTTTTTTAAACCCTATTTGGTTATTAAAACATAAAAAATTTTTTTTTAGAAGTTTCAAATTTTGACTAGCTAGTTATAAAAACCAATTATTGTGCTTTGCAAAAAAATATAAGAGAAGTGTTATTTATCACCTGATTTTTTTTAGAGGGGAGCCCCTACCAAAATATCATGTATGATGTACATAGTGTTCGCATATCCAGTTTGAGTCCGATAGAGTTCGAGTTCGAGTTCGATCAAACCTGGACTCGAACTCTAAATTTTGCAGATCTTTGAACTCAAACCGGAACCAAACTTTATTATTCGAACTCAAACCAGACTCAAACACAACTAATAGTTTGGTTTGAGTTCAGTTTGAAAGTTCACAAACTAGTTCAGGTTTGATAGAGATGCAATCCATTATCCATTTTTCTATTTAAAGCTAAAGATTCTTTATAATAATTTTGTTATATAATTAAATTAAAGGATATCCTGGATCACATCTCTAACTCTAAGCAAATATTCAACTCTATACCAAATTATAGAACTAGTTTAGAAAATTTTTGTATTAAATAACTAAAATTTTTATGCAGAGTATTTTTAAATAATTTAAATAATATAATTTATTATATACATAAAAAAAGATTTAACAAAAGAATAATAAAAAGCAAAATAAACATTAAATATCATTTGGAACATCTATGCTAGCAGATTTACTAAAATTTAGTTTTGATAAACTTTCACTAATTTTCAAAGTGTTAAATGGTTTGCTAATGTATATATTTTTTAGCTCTTTTTTAATTATTATATAATTTTTGTTAATCTTATCACTTTCTAAAAACTAATTTTTAATTTCATCTTCGGAATTTTCATTCAAAATTTCCAACCATTTATTTAATTTAATAATAATTTCATTAGTAGTTGGCCATTTTTCTAGATTTAAATCCATGCATCGATTTGTTAATTCAACTTAATAATTAGAAGTTCCAATTCCAAAATTTGGTCACAATCTTTGACAAATTATAATTACAAGATCTCTATCAAATTTATGACTATTAAAAGGTCTTTGTCCAGTTGTCATTTCTACCATGATGACTCCAAATGAATAAATATCTATTGCTTGAGTGTATGCTTCTCTTTGAAAAAGTTTAGGTGTAATATAAGACAAGACACCATGAATATGATTTTCGTATTCTTTCTCATCAAGTGGCTTTGATAAACCTAGATTGGTAATATATGCTTCATAATCTTCTTTTAACAAAATATTTCCTGGATGTAAATCTCGATGTAAATATCTTTTATCATGAATACGGTCAAGATTAGTTATAATATCATAAAGTATCTTTAATTTATTTTTCTATTCAAACTTAAAGATATCAACAAGATTTTTGCTTAATAATCCATGTTTTGCATAACTCGTTACTAAAATATAATCATTCGTTTTTTGTCCCGTGATATTCCCAAATATTGTTCTAAGCTATAACAAGCTTTTAACTAAAAAAAACAAATTATTATATTTAAATTATCTAGATAAAAATAAAGATTATATAGTTATGATAACTATACTATTTTTATATATTCGTATATTAATGTCATCAATTTAACCTTTTCTATTATTAAAAATTTAAGCTACAAAAAAAATGATGATGATATAAAATACAAAAATAAGAGAATTTTTAGAGCAGTTGTCAATAACATGGCTGCATAATAATAAAAATACCTCATTTAAGAATAGAACTTTATTCTTATTAGAATCTTTTATGATCTTGATTGCTACTTCTTCATATGACCCTGATTGATTTAAATATTTGGTTCTAAAAACTGTAGAAAATGCTTCTAAGCCTATTTCTAAGATATTTTCAAATTTTGAATATACCATCCAATGAAAAAATTCTTGTTTTCTACCAGTGTTAACACACATTGTTCAGTGATAGCAGATTTCAAATACTATTCGAAAGCAACATCTATATCCTTTTCAACAATTTCTCCTTTCAGTTTCACTAACTTTATATATTCCATCAAGATATCCCATCTCTGCTAATTTTTTATAGTATTCGAATGCTTTATGTTCATCTTTTGTGACTCCATATTCTTCATTATAACATACTGCAACACTCCATGTTTCAATAATATATCCCATTTCTGCTGATTTTTTATAATATTCATTCTTTTCAACTTCAATTCCATTATTATAACAATATCTAACATTACTTGTTTCTTTAGCATTACCCATGTATAGCTTTTTGATAATATTTAAATGCTTTTTGTTCATCTTTTACAACTCAAAATTCATATTCATAACAACCTTCAACAATCTGTATTCCATAAACATAACCAATACTAGCAGCTTTTTGAAAATATTCGAATGCTTTTTGTCTATTTGCTTTAACTTCAATTCCACTTTCATAACATAATCCAATATTAAATATTTCTGTAATATCACTCATATTAGCAGCTTTTTGATAGTATTCGAATGTCATTTGTTTATCTTTTTCAACACCAATTTCATATTAATAACATTCACCTAAAGCATATAAATAACCAAAATCAGCTACCTTTCTAAAATATGAAAAGGCTTTTTTTCTATCTATTCCAATATAATGACCCTCTATATATTTTTGTCCAAGTTGATAAAGTTCTTTAGCATTTTGATTTATTTTTTAATATAAAATGTTTAT